TAAGTTTGTTTCTCTGTCTTGAGTGTTGTGATAATGTTATGATGAACATGGTGTTCCATATATCTCTTTGAATTTAAATTTGTATATTTTTGTGGTAAAGCTTCACAACTAAAGAGAAGTCAGCTAGCTGGGTCATGTGATATTTATTTTCTTAAATTTCTTGAGGTATTGCCACACTATTTCCATGATTGCAACAATTTAAATCCTGTAACAACAATCTACAAAGATTTTGTCTCTCCACAACTTTACCATCACTTGTTTCTTGTCTATTTTGATAATAACCCTCTTAACAGATAGGAGATGATCGCTCATTTTGCTTCTGATTTGCTTTCTTAATAGGAGAGGAGGAACACGTGTTCATGGGCCTGCTGCCATCTCTGTCCTGTGGACAAGTCGCTCTTCAACATCTCTGTCCACTTTTTAATGGGGATATTTATTCTTTTGTTGACGAGTTTAATGAGTTCTTTATAAAATTTCTATATTAAGCCCTTGTCTGACATATGTATTTTCTCCAAATCATTAGTTTTTTTTAATGGTGGTTTCTTTCACTCTATAGAAACTTTTTAGTTTAATATTGTCCCATTTGTTTATATTTGCTTTTGTTTCCTTTGACAATGTAATCCGATTGACAAAAGTCATCTCCAAGGCTGATTAAGGAACTCTGTCATTTTTGTTTTTCTGTGTATTTTGTGATTTGAGAACTTCTATCCATGTCTTTACTCCACTGTTGGTGGAAATGTAGACTGTTTCCTTTCCTGGAAAATTAGGATAGATATTTCTGAAAATACTAACAATAGTTCTACCTTATGATCCAGCAATCCCATTCTTAGATATCTCTCTGAAGTATACAAAAACACTAATATGAAGGGATATGTGCACTCCTATGTTCACTGTAATGGTATTTTCAATACCAAAGTGATGGAAGCAACCTAAGGTCCAACAACAGATGAGTTGGTTATGAAGATATGGCACACAACACACGAATACTACTCAGCTACTAAAAAAACCCTCCGGATTAAATCTTGCTATTTGCAATAATATCGATGGTACCAGAAGAGACTATGACTCACAGAATTAGTTAGAAGAAAGATAATACCAGGGAGAGTAAATGGTTTGCCCACAGATCCAAAACTGTAACCTAACTTGAAAATAAACGAAAATCTCTTACTTAGACCAATTTTCCATCAACTACTTAAAAATTTATGGGCACAGAATGACCTACATCTATTTCAAACATAGTTTTTTCTTTAGACTGTTATTTCATTGCAATCTGATTCCGTATGAAAACTTATAACATAAAAAGTTAATGAAGGGCTCTTTATTAAAAGAAATGGATAAAAGGGATCTGAAAAGCATTATCCTTCAGGACTACAATGTGAAACCCTGCCATTTGTTATTTTCCATTTTGTTATGATAAGAATGAAAGGTTAAATATTTTCATATTAGTTTTTACTTTGACATTTACCAAAAGACTCTTTTCATTTTCAGAGTCACTTAAAAACCAGAAAAACTGTTCATATCAACCATGTAGTATATAGTCCTTACACATGCTTACCAATTAATTTAAATCTAAAAGTGGCCTGTGACATGATTCTTTGATCAGTAAAGACACATTAATTTTATATTAAATTCTATATGGCCAATACTGCAGTGAGAAATTATTGGGAAAGGGGCCTCGCTGGTGGCTTAGGGAGTAAGTCTCAGCTCTGTCACTGCTGTGGCCTGAGTTCAATTCTCCACGAGGGAGCTAAGCCACATAGGGTGCAGCAGCCTTCTCCTGTCATGCCTGCTGCTCCCTTGAGCAATGTATTTCAGTACATCTGCCTGTTCTGCTCCCCACTCTCTCTGGTGAATCCTCTCAACCACTGCACCTCTGGGCTACACCCCAGTTCTTCTATGCTTAAAAAAAGGTGGCAGTCTTTGTTTGGAAAGTCTGCAAAGCAGATCAAGGAGAAAAGACTTTAATGAGAAACTATTTGAGAATAGTAGAGAGCAATATGATGAAGGGATAAACATGGTCACTCAAACTAAAGCATAAACTAACTGAATAATAAACATTTTGAGAATAAATCAATCAGCTAATTCTGTTACATTACATTCATTTATCAACTTTTAATCAACTTGCTTCAGTGTATTTCTGATACATTGTCTAGTCCACAAATCACTATACAACAGAATACAACTTAAATATATGAAGGAAAACTCCATTATGGAAGTTTGTAGATGGCTCACAGCTATTCCATGCAAACACAGTTTGGGGAACCTCCCCTCAGGAAACCACAGGAAACAGGTCTTGGACCCAAAGTCTCTACACGGATGGTGCCACAATATGCCTCCCGTGGGGCAGAGAAGTGTGCAGGCATGAGCCACAAATCCATGGTCCTCCTTGGAACCCGGGTCCAGGTCAGTTATTTAGGCTTGTGAAATAGGACTTGGGCCCTATTCCAAAATGTGCTAGGGATCAAAACCATGGCAATACAACCCTGCATTTCCATTACATTGTGAGTGCTCCTGCATCAGGAAATAACCTCCTCTTTTCACCACCATAGAGGACACTTGATTTTCCTAGGGCTACAGGAATTAAGGAGTAATGTTTTACTATCTCGTCTATTTCTTTCGCTGCCACTATTCCCTATTGGAATGGCATTAAAATTAGCTAAATCAGACTGGAAAGGAAAGGAAAACAATGAAATAACTGCAGGGGACATAATTTGAGGAACATTTTCCAGGACATAATTTGAGGAAATTCAAGGATTTTCTATATTATTGATGCAGATGTTGGCTACATAGATCAATGGAGGAGGAAACATTTTCTTACCCATAACTTAGATGTGGTATAAACGGAATTAGAAATTTCCTCCACATCTGAGGATTGGAAAGCTGATAGTATACCAGAGACTATAATTCAACTAAGAGGCCCACATAGTAAGACCTCCATAACGGATCATGGTTTTTAGCAGTTATGTAAGCAAAATACCCAAAAGCAATAATTAATATACCTGTGTGTGTTACACTAGTTTATAACACTGCATAAAGTTTTGGAGTACAGCTTCACACCTATCAAAACGTGTAATTCCACACCACACACACCAACAGAGTTCTAATGAGCCTCCACTAACAGGCTTCCCCTAACACACGCCCCCTCTCCAGGATCAGGTCCTCCTGCCAATTTGTGTCTGCACAAGCATCGACTTCTCTTCTTCCGCGCGCGCGCATGTGTGTGTGTGTGTGTGTGTGTGTGTGTGTGTGTGTGCCCTCACCCCCTGAAGGAGGACTCTGGTGAAGTTTTTCTTAGAGGTGACCCAAGAACCCCCAACTGTGACCCCAACACCTCTCCCAAGGAAACAAGGAAAGTCTGAGAAACTGTCATCCAGGCAAACTGGATGGGATTATTGGGCATAAAATGGCATTAGCAAAAACGAATTAAAGTATGGCGTTATTATGTCAACATTGCTGCATTAGTGGTAAAAAAAAAATCTGTACTCATGTAGGATGTTAACAAAATGGAAATGGTGTGGGATAAACAAGACCTGTACTGCTTTGCAAACTTTTTTGTAATTCGAACAGTATTCTTTAAATGTTATTTTTTAAAATACTCTCAATATTTAATAGGTTATAGATGGAAAGTTTTTTTTTTTCTTTTCCAGTTTCCCAGGTATCACCGTCCAGGGAGTGGAGAGAAGGGTTCTGGGAGAAAAGCTGGAAACCTCACACACAGGGCAGGCTCCGGAGTCTCCTCTCCTCGGAGCCCTGCTGCTCTGGCTCCTCACAGAGCATCTCACCCCAGGACGCCGCCCTCCAGGACCCCCAACTCTGCCCACCTCAGCCCCGCCCTGTCCTGGCGGCTCCACCAGAGTCCGGGACAGGCGGCAGCGCCCCCGTGTGGCCACAGGGCTGAGCACAGGAGACCTGAGCCGCCCTTTCTCCTCCTGCAGCCAGGCCCTCCCCAGGCTCCCTGGGCCCCCAGCGGCAGGACAGGGATCTGCTCACAAGGGGGCGCCCAAGTCCAGTGTCAGGTCAGAGTCCTCCAATTTTCTTAGTCTATGGACAAAGGACAA